GGTCCCGCACTCCGTACCTTCCCGTCCCCGCCTTCTCCCCCTCGCCCCGATCGCCGGGTGCCGCGCGCGTCGCCGATTGCCTCCCGGGTCGGCGGCGGCGGCTGCGGGCGCGGGCGATCGCCTCCTGGTAGAGCGATCTTCCGGCCCGTCGCGTCCGATCGCGAGGCGGTCGTTCCGGCGCCCGCCGATCTCCCCGTCTCGTTGGCGCAAATTTGGGTTACTGCGCGTGTTCCTGTGGCGGCGGCTGGCTTGGGCTACGGGTTTTCGGGGACGATCGGGTTCGTCCCGATGACGCGGCGACGCGTGTGTGGGTGCTGGGTCCAGGTTTTGATCGGTTCTGGTGAGAGAAATCTGTGTCGAGGAGATCGGGATAGGATTTGGGGATGAGGACTGTTTGGGGAACCTCAGTTGCCGAATCCTAGATTTGTGGCCGTAGAAGAACAAGGGCCGTGACCTTGTGCAGGTGTTCTGGATGGTTATGGAGTAGTAGAAAGGAGAACTGCTTTTCTGCGGGCTAGATAAATATATTTTTTATCCTGGATGTGGGATTTCATGTTTTGAGCAGTAATTTATGTTTGATTGCTCGCTGGTAGAATGTAGTATGTTTGTGCTAACCCATGCTCTTGTTGATTTCGTGTGGCAGATTAGTATGTGGTAGGAAGTGCATGGGGAGAAAGGATGCCAGAGTTGCGTAGTGGAGTCCGACAATCCCGGTTGAAGTCGAGGAAGGTTGAGGATCTCGACGTACAGGACCCAGCAGAGAACTTGCCAGTGGCAGCGCCTACGGTGGCAGGAAGGCGTGGCAGAGGAAGGGGTGGGAGAGGTGGAGGGCGAGGAAGGGGAAGGGCAGGAGGAAGAGGGAGAGGTGTTCCTGTGATTGACTTGGATCCAGACCAGCCTTTTGAGGTTCTTCCTGGAGCTGGTGTTGGTGGAGGTGCTGTGGGTGGTCCACAGCGCATTGAGGAATTTGCTGATAAGGCTGTCAAGATGGATGGCGTGAGTCCTGACAAGATCGGTGGTGGTGAAGATGATGCATCTCCAGTCCCAGAGAAGGTATTTGTTCGAATGCACTATGGCTCATACTATTTTGTGTGTTTTGATTTGCTGCTCTCCTTGTGGTGTCAGGGTTTAGAAGATAACGACAAATCTTATACTTTGTCGTGGTTTGACGTGGCCTATCCTATCATAATACAGCTTTATCAGTTATGTCTATAAACGGTTCCCAAAAAAAAGAGTTATGTCTGTAATGGTAATTCATATGGAGCTATTTGTGTTGGAATTTTGGACTAAAATATGTAGAATAACTAGCTAATGCACTTGCTTTGCTACCTAAAAAATTATATAATTGCCCGCCTCAGACTTTACCTACGCCCGCCGCACTCTATGCTGGCATACACCTCCGTGCTCCGTGTCATGCTTCACGGTGTTTCATTTATTTAGCTTAGAGATTTTTAAAGTAAGGTGTGGAAAGGGAGATGGGATGTGTGGACGAACTGTGCCTTGCCCACTCCCATTTATAAGGTAGTGAAGACCGTAAAACAAGATGTAATTGGAAAAAAAATCAATGACATTTTCCTTGTCCTCGCACTTATTTTGGCATTACTTGTAATTTTTCTATTGCTCCATGAGAACCAGCCAATTGTATGCTGATATTGATACTTGCATTTCTTAGCTCTGGTTATATCTGTTTCTAAATTGCAACGAAAGCGTGCTGATCCATGTGGAGGAAGAGAAAATCACGGATGAGTTATTATTTTCGTTGTGAACACCATTAGAAATGACGGGTATCTTTTTTCATGTGAGAAGAGTTCTCTACCTTAATATCAGGTACCTGAATAGTAGGAAATAGTAGTAGTTAATTGGATCCATCGGGGACGCATGTTCTGCTCCCTCCATCCGTTTATTTAGGACCAACTTTTCAAGTCTTGCATACCAGTGTATAGCAAGAAAGTTGGAGCAATTATATAGGGATTATAATTTGGCCAACTGATTCCCTCAATTCCCCTCGGCAGCCTTGTTTTGGGTACTATGAAAACCTCATGCGAAGCATCTGATTAATGCGCTAAGCTGCTCGCCTCCCACTGTGTTAATTCTTTGCGCTAACACCGTGGTGCATGTTGGGCATGCCTTGCATGAGATTTTCCTCTCCTTCCTTTTCTACCCTGCATGCCCAATCAAAATCAAGGATTGCTAAAGTCTGCATGCTAACATTAATTACACATTCCATATGAAGAGGGGATGGGAGGGAATGTGCGCCATGAAAGATGGAGCAGTAATAGTGCTTGTGAAATTAGACCTAAAAAATCCAGAAAATGAAATTTGGGGTTGGGCCCTAAATAAACGGATGGTGGGAGTAATTAATTGTGGCAACTAAGTGCCCTGCTGTCAGGGCAGGTTCATCAGCCTGCAATTATGTTCTGTCTGGGGTTTCTTTTGAATGATAAATCAGATTGAATTTCTCAGTAGATAACCCAAGATGCTTACATGGAGGTGACATTTTCCTCAACTATCACCTAGTATGTCAGTACAACAACTAGCTGCTTCAAACTTCAACATTGGCTTTATATCATGCAAGCTGCTCTTTCTTTAACACCGTAGGTTCACATGCATTGAAGTAAAACAGTACTAATTTGAACCCAGGCATAGTTTAATATAACCCAGGTTTTGTTTAGATGCAAGTGAATCTGCTATTTTAAAGCGTTGGCCCAACTGGGCGAATGTAACTAAAGGAAAAAATTTAGGTGGACTGCTTGTAACAGGACAAAACTTATTTGGTTGGATGCATTAATAGGACAGATCCAGCGAGATATTTCATATCCAAATTCATGAGATCTATCAAAAGCTAAGAGCTGAGTCAATATAGAGAAGTGCTTAAGGTTTTCCATACAGAGGGGGCCTTTTCTTCTCTTCTCCATACAGTTCGGCTTTGTCTTCTGAGGCCATCTACAATGCAGGCGCTAACAGCGGACGCCAGGATTGAGATCCTGCTAGTTTATCCTGTTTCCCACCTGATGCTGGGAAATCTTCTCGCGCCAACTCAAAATTAGCCATCGGGCGCACCACCTTTTTTTGCATGAGCTAATTAATCAGAGGCGGGCACTAGCAGCGACGCTAACAATATCCTTTAAAATCTGCTTTGCCTTAACTTACTCAGATTTTAATGGAGGGGCAGGCGCTACCGTTACCATGTAGCACTTATAATTTGCGATCAGCGTTGGAATTCAAGACTCCACGATCGACGCTAACATAATTTTGTGGGGAAAAATCCCTCTAGCGTCCAAACAAGCGCCTGTGCGTTGGAAATGGCCTGAGGGGCTCGAGAAGCTGCAACCTCTTCTGGGAAGCTTAAGGTTCCAGAGGCTTGCTGGCCTGAGCTGGAAACTCCCTCAAATGTCGTAAATATGAAGGATAGGCAACCCATATCCATCATCCACTTCTAGAGCACTCTAAAACTTGAGTATCACCTTTTTTTGCATCTAGTAATAAATTATGACATGCACATTCAAGCTTATCCTTGTTTTTAAAATCTCTGTCTAATGTATATACCTTGCATTCTGGCAGACAGGCAGGCATTTACATTTTTCTGAAATCACACTGTACCTGAACCATGTTTCATTTATAACAAGATAATCTTATCATTTGGATGCCAACATTGGCAAGCAAAACGAACTAGAGTTGCCAAGGGCTTTCCAAATTCCCTCTATGACAACTCCAGTTCATTTTGCTTGCCAATGTTGGCCAAGTCATGGGCAAGGAAAAGTTTGACGAAAATTCTGGCTAGCCAAGTATGTGGTAGGGCAAACTTGGGCTAAAATCAAACATACCCTAAAGCTCGTCTGAAGTTTTCTTTGTGTATTACAAGTTCGCAATTTAAATGAACCAAAAATTTTTATGGGTAATGGCAAATTTGAAATGCAAGTCACCCAGTAAAATATGTTTTCTTTTTACCATTTACAGGTTCAAGTAGGCCATTCTCCACAATACAAGGTAGAGAGGAAATTGGGCAAGGGTGGTTTTGGGCAGGTTTATGTTGGCAGAAGAGTGTCTGGTGGAACAGAGCGCACTGGACCAGATGCTTATGAGGTTTATCTTTACTGCTTTTCCTTTTGTCTTCAAAATTGCTATTTGAATATAATGATGGTAAGAGCGTTGTCTTCTCATTGCAGGTTGCTTTGAAATTTGAGCACCGCAACAGTAAGGGGTGCAATTATGGCCCTCCATATGAGTGGCAGGTTTATAGGTAATTACATTATAATAAGCTAACGCGTCTATCTTCTTACAAAAGAATATTGGAAATCATGGGAGTTATACATAACTGTACCATGAAATGTTTTTTCTCTTTTGCGTATTATAAGATCCTCAGTTATCTTTTGGATCCAAGATTTTCTTTTGTCATCACGTAATTGCACTAAATTTTGTATATAACCCAGGGCACCAAAGAGTGAATGCTTATTAGTACACTGCTAACTTGTCATTTGTAGTTTTTAAAATTGATTTGGCAGTATTCTAATCTATTGAAATATAAAGAAGGCTTTCTTATCGTCGCTGCTCACCGCTTAGAAGAACCAATCTTATTATTTGCCCCACCAAACTACTTCCCCACTAATTCTGATGTTTTTGTGTGCATTTTTTAAGCTCTCTGAACGGATGTTATGGTATACCGTGGGTTCACTACAAAGGCCGTCAAGGGGACTATTATGTGCTGGTTAGTTATATAAACGCCATCTAATTCGTTTGAGAAAGTTCTATTGTTACCACAAACTGAATTATATTGCTGTTTCAGGTAATGGATATACTAGGCCCTAGCCTTTGGGATGTTTGGAATTCTCTAGGGCAAACGTAAGATGGATACACTTATTTGATTTGTGTTCCTGTCATATCTGTTTTTAAATTAGAACAGCTGAGTGATAACTAATGTTTGGATCAGGATGACTCCAAGTATGGTTGCTTGCATCGCTGTAGAGGCTATATCTATCCTGGAAAAACTTCATGCAAAGGGGTAACCAGTGTCCTACTGAATTGGCTTTGAGATGCAGCTTTCCAGATTTATATATTTTCTATTGAAATATTTTGCAGGTTTGTTCATGGAGACGTTAAGCCAGAGAATTTTCTACTCGGACAACCTGGATCACCTGATGAGAAGAAGCTTTTTTTGATTGACCTTGGGTTAGGTATGTCATAGCAAATTTCTTGTGATAGATAATTCATTATTCTTTGCCAGTAGTTGAGTAAATTTTCACACACAACAGATAAGGATTCTGCATAGCATTCTCCGCCTTAACTGTATACTATTACCTAATATAAGCAAGTACTGACTCCTACCATTTGAACTGCCAGCATCGAGATGGAAGGAAACATCATCTGGACAACATGTTGACTACGATCAGAGGCCTGATATTTTTAGGTTTGTTTTTATCTAAGGATCGATCATTTTTTATTTCCAATCAGTTTTGTGATTGACCAGTTGTTACCTTCTTTTGGACAGGGGCACAATAAGATATGCTAGTGTGCATGCTCATTTGGGCCGTACTGGTAGCAGAAGGGATGATCTGGAATCACTAGCATATACATTGATATTTCTACTCAGAGGAAGATTACCTTGGCAAGGCTATCAGGTTTTTTCTTTTTCTTTGGATAAATGAGTTTGGATCGTACCTCCTGGACTATGTATTCTGCCCACTTACATGCATGTTGGGTGAAGCGAAATTAATTTGTTATTACCTACTCCCTCCGTTCCGAAATAATTGAAGTTCTAGGATTGTCCAAAGTCAAACATTTTTAAGTTTGACCAAGTCTGAAAAAATGTGCTAAGATCTACTCCCTCCGTCCGAAAATACTTGTCGGAGAAATGGATAAAAATGTATGTATCCAAAACTAAAATACATCTAGATACATCCATTTCTCTGACATGTATTTCCGGACGGTGGGAGTACAATATCACTAGTATATATATATATATATATATATATATATATATATATATATATATATATATATATATAATTTATATAACGAATCTAATGATGCAAATTTGATGTTGTAGATGTTGATATATTTTTCTATAAACTTCATCAAACGTAATGAAGTTTGACTCAGGACAAACCCAAAACTTCAATTATTTGAAACGTAGGGACTAATTAAGATTGTGGATGGCATACACACCCATTCATTATGACTCTCCCTCCCTCTCTCTCTCTCTCTCTCTCTCTGTAATGTGAACATATGTATTTGACCTCTGCTAAATGATGTGCAGGGGGAGAACAAGAGCTTTCTTGTTTGCAAGAAGAAAATGTCTATCTCTCCAGATCTGATGTGCTGTTACTGCGCACCTCCTTTTAAACTTTTTCTGGAAACCGTGACAAACATGAAATTTGATGAAGAACCAAACTACCCAAAGCTGATTTCCCTCTTTGATGAATTGATTGAGCCCCAGCATTTGAGGCCTATTAGAATCGATGGTGCTCTAAAGGTTTGTTTTTATAGATCTGATTTCATACCCGTCCTACAATCTTAGTTGATGCATTACTCATTGAAGGAGCTTGTTTAGTTTGACCTTTGGTTACTTTTCATATGTAGGCTGGACAAAAACGAGGAAGAGGAAGTCATGAAGAAGATGAACAACCGAGGAAGAAAGTTCGACTGGGAAGCCCAGCAAATCAGTGGATTTCAGTATATAATGCTAAGAGGCCCATGAAACAGAGGTAACACAGTATATCATGGCTTTATAGGTTGCACATGTTATGAGTCTTCACTCGCCAGTTGCCACAATCTGTTCTACTTTTTAGCATTTTGTGTGTGATGGATAACCTGAAATTTGTTTGTAAATAGTTCCAACTTCAGAGTAGCCACGTGATGCACATGATTATACTCAACTTGGCAAGCTTGTACTTATTTCAGACAAGATTTTTTGCGAGTTTTTATGATCTTCATGTCAAGGTTTGGTGGATAATACATTTGCACAATTGCGCTACTAAGAAATAGCAGTCAAGCACATTATATTGTTTCCAGCTACTTATCTAGTCATAAGCCATGGTTTTCGAAGTGCCCCCTTCCAGTAACGTCCTTGTTATTCTCCCTCTCAGATACCATTACAATGTAGCAGAAGCCCGACTTCATCAACACATAGAGAAAGGGAATGAAGATGGATTGTTTATTAGTTCGGTAGCATCTTCAGCAAATCTGTGGGCCCTTATTATGGACGCTGGAACTGGGTTCACATCCCAAGTTTACGAACTTTCGCCAATATTCCTTCATAAGGTATATTAATGACTCTTGAGCATTCTGCTTTCTTATTTCGGGTTCCTAAGTTGCCAATTTGATGTACTCCAGGACTGGATTATGGAGCAGTGGGAAAATAACTACTACATCAGTGCCATAGCAGGAGCAACAAACGGAAGTTCCTTGGTGGTCATGTCAAAAGGTTTGTTGAATTTATTGTTTTGCCAAATGGTTATCATTTATTATATTTATTTGGAAAGGTCAATCCATATTCAAGTATTTGTCCTGCATCTGCTTCCTAAAATTTTGCTAGTGTTTCCATTCAATGGTAGAGAGCTGACTGTTTTGTCAATATATTGAATGCCCTGTTTTCCAGTTCAAGTGTTCCTTGTTGTTGATATTAGCTATTAGTGGGGTTAATCGAGACTGGTCATTTACTCTTTCTAGGAACCCCTTACACTCAACAGTCTTACAAAGTCAGTGAATCGTTCCCCTTCAAGTGGATCAACAAGAAATGGAAAGAAGGATTTCATGTTACATCAATGACTACAGCAGGGACCCGCTGGGGTGTAGTTATGTCAAGGAATTCTGGATATTCTGAACAGGTAATTAGCAATTGATTAAAAATTGTCCATTAGTTAAATGTGAATTATACAATCCCGTTGTTCAAAATAATATTATTGCCACTTCATTCCTCTGATATGTAATGCAGGTGGTAGAATTGGATTTTCTTTATCCTAGTGAAGGTATTCACCGGCGATGGGAGAATGGATATAGAATAACTTCTACAGCAGCCACTGGTGATCAAGCTGCTTTTATATTGAGCATTCCCAAAAGAAAATTGACGGACGAGACACAAGAAACTCTTAGAACATCCACTTTCCCAAGCAACCATGTGAAGGTAGGACCATATCATTTGTTCTTTAGTGCATTTTCATAAGTAATATGATAAGTTCTTAACTAAGAAGTTAATAGCTGTCATCTGGTTCTGTTTTGATCTGCATTTGCAATTGCATGTTTGAGGACAGGGTAGTATTTTCAGCCAGGATTTATTATTCCGTACTGTTACTGCAGAGCTATTTTTCTCGCTCAAACATCAACTCAGTCACGGGTCTAATATAGTCATATGGTTGTCCTTTTGTAGGAGAAATGGGCCAAAAATCTTTACATTGCCTCTATATGCTATGGACGGACAGTGTCGTGAGACTTGCAGTCACACCAACTCAGTCAGGGCTGAGCATATTAAAATGAGTTGACGTCGAAAAACCCAGCAAATTTAGTTGCTGCTGTGTTACTCTGTATGTGTAGGTAAATTGCGTAGATGAACCTTACATCATGGCCAGAGCAGGGGCGCTCCAGAAAGAACTGGGATGAAGGTGGACCACAGCTAGCCAATAAGAAGATGGAAGAGGATGCGTGATCCGGTTGGTGGTGGTGCAGTATGCTTTTGCGTCGGTCCAGTTGCTGCTTTACAGAGTATGAATGACGGCCTCCTCCTCTTTGGAGGCCTATAACCTGTGAGAGCCCGTTGTGTATATAGCTCTATCATGTCCTTCATTTTGTAAGTGGAAACAAGTTCCATATTCTCAGATAGACTGGAAGTGTCTAAATTATTATGTGAGGTGAACTCATGAATTCGGTGTATCGATTCCATTATTCCGTGAGCTCATTGCATGATCACTTGTTGAATTCCATTAAGTGTGTGAAAAAAAATTAGAATTTTTTGACACACTTAATTTGATTTTTTGAAGTGTGAGAATGGGAGCATGTTAGTGTTGGTATCACCTGATACGTCCCTTCATCACCCATCTCTGTTATGCAGCAGCCCAGCCCAGGAAGAAGGCCCAAGGCCTCACGACGCTCCCGGCTGCTGGACCGGGCCTGGAGGGCCGAGAAGGACAAGAGAGCAGAGCCTGAAGACAGAAGGGGGCTCGCTGGACCGGGCCTGGAGGGCCGAGAAGGCTCGCTGGACCGGGCCTGGAGGGCCGAGAAGGACAAGAGAGCAGAGACCGAAGACAATAGAGGGCTCGCTGGAACAGAGGAGGTCATCGATTAGCAGAAGCAACACACTTTTCCCCTTTCCTCCTCCCATCTCTGTGTACGCAGATCACCTTCCCCTTCTACTCTCTCTAGATCGAGTTCATGTATCCAGGAGCATAACAATTGGTATTAGGAGTCGTTCGATCCATCTCGGTGACGTGTGATCCATCAGTCCGTAGTGCGGTCGGCGGCGGATTCGTTCCCTACTGTAATTCCCATCGCTCGGCAGGAACCGCCGATTTGGTTAGCCGATCGGGTGTCCGATCTGGCACCGAAGAAGCGTGGCCCTTTGGCGGTCGAGCAGCAGATATCAGTGGCGATGGGGACCGTGGAGCAGCAGAACACAGAGACAAATGCCAAGCTCGACGACATCGTTGAACAGCTGAAGGGCATGGCCGCGTGGATGAAGGCCATGGATTCCACGACGAAGAGCCTCTCCGAATCCACGACGCTTCTTCAGCTACACGCTGAGGATGCATCAACGCGACTGGAGGCGCTCGAGTCACCGCCGATGCGCCCCCAAAGCCCATCCAGCGCGACCACGACGCCTCCGACTGTGGTGGTGCACGCACACGGCGGGGAGCGGCCCAGTGGGCACAGCGGGCATCACCAGCAACGGGGGTTGATTTTGGGGGATCCCCGATCCCCATATCCGCCTCCGGCCAACGGTATGCCCTCCTTCGCCCTGTTCGCCGATCGGGAGTCCTTCAGTGAGGAGCATCGAGTTTTGCATCCTCCCCCTCGGCCACACTTGGGCAGTACACCCAAAATGGATTTTCCTAAATTTGATGGGGAAGATTACCAAGTGCGGCTGGACAATTGTGAACTGTATTTCGAGATCTATGGGGTGTCTGAGCCAATGAAAGTAAAGTTTGCCGCTCTCAACTGTGTTGGGAACGCAGCGTTGTGGCTAAAAATGGCCCAGAAACGTCGGCAGTTTGTGCATTGGCACGACCTGCGCACTGCAGTTCAGGAGAAGTGGGGGAAGAACAAGCACACATTCCACATGCGCCAGTTGCTACTGCTTAATCAGACTAGCTCGGTAGATGAGTACACTTCTAAATTTGACACCCTGCGACACCAAATCCTTCTAGCAGATCCACACACTAGTGAGGTGTTCTTTGTTGAGAGATATATAGTAGGCCTTCGTCCTAAAATTCGTACTGCTGTTATATTGCATCAACCAAAGGATGTCGATACTGCTAGTTGTTTGGCCTTATTGCAGGAAGTGGAGCTCGACAACGACAAGGCGGGCAGCAACTCTAAGTCTAGCCAGCGATCGTTTGTCAAGCAATCAAATAATGGGGACAGAAACAAGCACCAATCGACACCAAAGGAACCGCGGAAGGTGGCCGAGAAGTTGGAGGCACTACGGGCTTACCGCAAGGCCAAGAACTTGTGTTTCAAGTGTGGTGAACCATGGGCAAGAGGTCATAAATGCCCTGACAAGGTGCCTCTTCACATTATGGAGGAATTACTGGAAATCTTACAGCTGGATGATCCTCCTGATCCGCAACACATGTCGGATTCTAGTTCAGAGGAAGACGTGATGTTGCTTACCAATTCAAGATCCACTACATCACTGGTCAAAAGAAGAACCATGCGCCTGCATGGCATGATTGGCAAGCGCAACGTCCTCATTCTGATTGATTCTGGAGCCAACTGTTCTTTTGTGGATGCTAAACTGACAGAGGAGCTTCAGCTTCCCACTCATCCCATGCCAGCGGCCTCCTACATTGTCGCGGGCGGGGAAACCTTGAGGAGCTCCACTATTGAACCCCAGCTGTCGTGGTGGACTCAAGGGCACACCTGCTAGGATATGAAAGTTCTTTCTCTCGGCTGTTATGATCTCATTATGGGTGCTGATTGGCTCGAGAATCACAGTCCTATGTGGGTACATTGGCACAAGAAGTGGATGAGGTTCACATATGAAGGCCGGCGGATTACGCTAAAAGGGATTCGGTCCACACCAACCAAGTGCAAGCCAGTCTCCGTGGGAAAATTGAAAGGGTTATTACGTCGTGGGGCAGTCCAGCAGGCAGTGCAGGTCAAGCAAGTTCACCAGGAGCAAGAGTTGTTGGCTGTGCACATAAATGAGAAGGAGGAAAACATTCCCCCGGAGGTGCAGTCCCTGTTGCAGGAGTTTGAGGACCGTTTCCGCGCCCCGTCAAGCCTACCACCTCATCGAGCAGATGATCACACCATCCCCTTAATTCCAGGCGCACAACCAGTAAGCGCGCGACCATACTGGTACACACCCCAGCAGAAGGATGAAATTGAAAGACAAATCAAAGAGATGCTCCGTAATGGTATCATCCGCCCCAACTCGAGTCCCTTTGCTGCCCCAGTGCTACTTGTGCGCAAAAAGGATGGCACGTGGCGTTTCTGTGTGGACTATCGCCAACTGAATGCAATCGGTCAAGAACAAACATCCAATGCCGGTGGTGGATGAGCTATTGGACGAGATCTCAGGCGCAAAATGGTTCACCAAGCTGGACCTTCTCTCAGGGTATCATCATATAAGAGTGGCCGATGAGGATGTGTTCAAAACAGCCTTCCGCACCCACCAGGCCCTGTATGAGTTCCTGGTAATGCCCTTTTGGCCTCTCGCGTGCACCCAACTCCTTCCAGAGCATGATACGCAAGGTTCTCAATCCTCCGCTCAGGCATGGTGTTTTGGCGTTTATGGATGATATTTTGGTGCATACAGCTACCTTGGAGGAACACCTACGTCGCCTACGTGAAGTATTACAGCTGCTCGGGATAACGATTTGGTGATCAAGCGCTCTAAGTGTGCCTTCGCCCAGCCTCGGATCGAATGCCTCGGGCACATCATCAGTGCTGCGGGCGTGGCAACTGATCTGGCAAAAGGTTGAGGCAGTGCAGGCTTGGCCTATTCCCACTTCTATCTGGGCTGTTCGAGGGTTTTTGGGTCTCACGGGGTACTACCGGAAGTTCATTCAGCATTACGGCGTGATTAGTCGACCACTGACAGAGCTGCTAAAAAAGGAAAAAATTTCCAGTGGACACAACCAGTAGAAACAACTTTTCAGCTGCTCAAGAAGGCAATGATCGCAGCTCCGGTGTTGGCGGTACCCAATTTCCAGCAAACATTTGTCTTGGAGACCGATGCATGCAAGGATGGCATCGGGGCAGTCCTCATGCAACAAGAACACCCAATGGCTTACTTGAGCAAAGGGCTCTGTCTAAAGAATAAAGCACTCAACACATACGAGAAGGAATGCCTCGCCATTCTGATGGCCGTGGACAAATGGAGGTCGTACCTACAACACCAACATTTCATAATACGCACAGATCAGCAAGCCCTCTTGCATCCCGCCGACCAAAGATTGAGCACGGGGATCCAGCACAAGGCCTTTGTCAAACTGATGGGATTGGAGTACACTATCTAGTACAAGCGTGGCATCACAAATGCGGCAGCAGATGCTCTCTCCCGCCTAGACCAGCAACACTCCGTACTCGCCATATCATCGGTAATACCCTCGTGGATGGAAACCCTGGTTGCTGGCTATGAGGAGGACACCAGTTCCAAGCAACTCTTGACTGAGCTATCAGTAACAGGGAGAAATGACAAGGGCTACTCATTGGATAATGGTGTGCTTCGCTACAAAGGGCGTATTTGGATTGGCCAAAACCCTTTGGCTCAGCAACACATTATGCAGTCCCTCCATGCCACTACACTTGGCGGCCATTCGGGGGTGCTTGCGACATATCAACGTGTCAAGAAACTCTTTGCCTGGGCCAAGATGAAACGAGATGTTACAGAGTTTGTGCAAGGCTGCACCGTGTGTCAGCAGGCCAAGCCGGAACACTGTCGTCAACATGGCCTTCTTCAACCTCATGAGATTCCCCCTCATCTGTCGCACACTATAAGCTGGGATTTCGTGGAAGGGTTGCCCAAGTCAAATGGCTTCAAAGTGATTTTGGTTGTCATTGATAAGCTCACCAAGTTTGCCCACCTTTTGCCGCTCAAGCACCCATACACAGCTCACCAGGTGGCCCTCGTGTTCTTCGATCAAGTGTACCGCCTCCATGGCATGCCAGCAAGGATCATCTCCGACCGAGATCCGGTCTTCACAAGTACGTTCTGGCAGGAACTGTTTCGACTTTCAGATACTATCCTCAACATGAGCACATCCAGACACCTCGAGACAGATGGGCAGACTGAACGCCTCAATCAGTGTCTCGAG